GGTGAACCACAACTTTTCACACAAGGTGAACTTAATGATTTTTGTGAGAGATTTGGGCATTCCAAAGGATTCTTCAGAGATTTTGGGGTCCAGACTTCAGATTCAGAACTTACTTTCTCCAGGGACATCATTTTACTGGGACAGAGATCGTGAGAAAAAGTTTATACAATACTTTTCACAGGAAGATTCACTAGTTTATTGCAACAATATTGCTGAATTAATACCAATGCTAGGAGCTGCAGTCTATGAACCAAGTGAGTGGCGATTATTCATTGATTCCTTCAAAAGAAGTCTAAAAGGTGTTCTACTTCACAATGGTAACACATGTGCATCTGTTCCTATTGCTCATTCGGCTCATTTGAAAGAAACGTACAAAAATCTCGAACTTCTTCTTAATAAGGCCAAATACAAAGAACATGGTTGGCTACTTTGTGGAGATTTAAAAGTTCTTTGTATGTTGTTGGGTCAATAATCCGGTTATACAATATTTACATGTTTTTGTGTGAATGGGACAGTAGAACACGAAATCAGCACTGGATAAAGAAGCAATGGTCACGCAGAATCAGCCTGATAACAGGATCGAAAAACATTGAACGTGAAAGTTTGGTTGACACAACGAAAGTCCTATTACTTCCACTTCACATAAAACTGGGCTTGATGAAGTAGTTTGTAAAGGCCTTAGACAAAGATGGCGACTGTTTCAAGTATCTATGTGGGCAAATCATAGCTCTTTCAGAAGCGAAACTTAAAGAAGGGATTTTTGTTGGGACTCAGATTAGGAAACTGACTTCGGATGAACAGTTCGAAAAGGACAAAGAGGAAAGTTGAAAAAAGGAGTATGGCTTGTCTTTAAAAATTTTATTGACATTTTTTAGAAAACAACAAGGACCCAAATTACGAAAATATTGTCAGTAACCAGCTCGATAAATTCAAAGAGCTGGGTTTTAATATGAGCTTCTAAGTTCATTTCTTATACTCAATTTAGGCCTATTTAATTGCTTTAAAATTTCAGTTGACAAGACGAACCATTATCTCTATTACTATCGCACTAGTATTGTGTGTGTGATTCACTTGCAATTGTGGCTCAAGTTACCGTAATCATTTGGTCTTCTTTCTTCTAAATGTCCTCTGTTCCTTTTGTCAAAGTGCAATGAGGCTGACTCAGTTACTTTAGAACCACGCTTTGACGGAATAAATTATTATTCTTATCTTATTTTCTACTGTTAGTCATATTATAGCATATTAAACGCTTGGCCTATGTTAATCGTTAGGCCTATCACTTCTACGGTATTTAACTTCTCCCCTAAATTTTCCTTGACTGTAACTTTACCCTCTTCTGCTATTATCTGTCTGCTGTTTCCGCTCGTCTCACACTATTTATATGTCTGCCCGCCTTCTATATTTTCGACGTCAGTGTATTGCACGCGACGTTCGATAGTCTCAACATCAATGACTTAGAAACACAACTTCCAACAATCATCTGCTTTCAATTCTTGTTATAACAAAAACTAAACGATAATAAAATATTCACTCACAGAAATATATTAATCAATAATACATAAACTAAACAGTATTTTATATCACGACAGTGGACATGATATACTTTTCTTTATTCCGTGATAACTTCAAGACGTACGATACTTATGTCTAACTCTCCAAGAAACGGTTGTCATAATATGATATTTGTTATACGATAACTCAAGGACGTTAACTGGACGTAATATTAAAGTCACTCTCAAGACCTCTGTAATTGTGTGATCTTCCTTCATATAAATAACTTAAACTTAAAAATACTTTCAAATATTACACTTCACCATTAAGCTAATTGAGTAAGGCTATGTTAATAATAGTCAGATTTTCGTTATATCCAGGTCACTGTGAAGATC